TTTATTAGTTGAAATTGGTATTGTAATTTTGCATGTTTTATCTGTAAATATTATAGCATTGACTCGTGGAATAACGAAAAATTTATGGTTTATTTTGATCAGGATTTGGTATATTCGGTTCCAGTAGCTGCAAGTCTGGGAATTTCAATGTGTGGAAATGATTAAGTGGGTGACTCATGCTTTATTTCTGAGTCAATTCAAGATCATTCAGGTCCTACAGTAGTAATTTTGCTCATGACTACTTTAACCGCAGATGGTAGTGTTGTAAGAAAAATTAGAATATTTTTTAAGTAATCTTGGGGAATTAGAGATGTCTATATATATGTTGAGAAATGTCCTGATGGATGCTTAATATGCAAAGCCACTGATTTAGCTATTTAATGTTTAACTTGGTAGCCATTTTATAGTAGTTGGACCTAACTAAATGTAAATGAAATATTATCCGATGGTTGGAACGTACAATATGGAATTGCTGAAGCAACAGAATGTGGATGTAAAAAAGAATGAATATGAATTAGCTACTGCTATATTAGGTGGTTCTTAAAAGTTAGATAAGGGTACTGTTGTCGGTAGGTCCTTTTTTAACATTCCAAAACATGACAAATTGAAGATTTAATTTTTATGGGCGAAAATTGGGGATTGGAATAATTATGAAGCAGATCTAACAGTAGCTGGTGCTTCGGTTTGGAAAAAATAATTTGGATCGTCTGATGGTTACGATTGGTAGATTTGTGGAGAGATATAATAACCATAATCAGAATATAAAACATAGTTTTATAGAGTTGAAGTAGAATTAGATCACACGAGCAGTCAATTAGATGTTTCAAAACACTCCAGTAAATATAAAACAACACCATCATCATTTGGCATCAGAGACTTTGTAATTTTTTATTAGACATTGCCCTTAAGGAACGTATTGGACTGGGGTTATCGATTTCATTTGTGAATGTAATTGTCAGTTTAGTTAGTTTAGATTGCCATAAATCATGTTACAAATTGTGATGGCTCAAATTCAGAAGACTGTACTGATTGTGGAGACCCTATGATATATTAAAAATAATTAGTGGCTGGTTAATGTACATGCTTAGCAAGAACAATTGAATAGTATAACATTGATGGGACTACTTCATGTTAAAGTATTTTAGTCTTAATTATGCATATTAGCTTGCCATCCTAAATGTGAGAGGTGTTATAAGCCTTTTGATAATACTGTTAATTAATATTGCACAATGTGTTTAGAAGGATAGAATAGAGTTGTTTCTGATTAATTTATGTGTGTTTGTAGAACAGGTTATGGTGATGATGGCATTTCTGAAGTTTGCTTTAGTAATTATTTTCTTAATTTTAGAATGTCATTATACTTGTGAACATTGTAATGGTTTCTTAGCAAATAATTGTACAAGCTGCTCATCATCCTCCAATCGTATTCTGACTTCTGATAATCAATGTTTATGCAACTTAGGATATTAAGATACTGGAATCAACGATATCATCTGTAAAAGTAATTTATTAAATATCTCAATTTTACAGAAATTTGCCATAATACATGCTCTAGTTGTACATTTGTCGGAATAGATCAATGTACAAGTTGTCCAGTTACAAGAAAACCAGATAAAATAGGAACCACTTTTCAATGCTTATGCGGAAATTCTCACTAATATAGTGATGACACAAAATTAGAATGTTAGGAATGTCATTTCACTTGTTTAACTTGTAATGGAGGTTACGATAGTAACTGTTTAACCTGCGACATTGCTTATCGGTAATTATCAATGTAGAAATGTATTTGTCCGAATGGGTATTACGACTAAGGCTAATTAATCTGCTCCCGTAATTATTATGAGTATTAAAAGCTTGCCATTATAAGTGTATGACCTGTTTTGGTCCAGCTGAAAATAATTGTCTAACATGTGCGAATAGTAACAATAGAGTATTGAGGACTAATCTATGTTTATGTCCAGATACTTATATGGAAAAATAGGCTGACCCTATGTGCTACAGTAAATAATATAGTAAAGACTAGAATGCTCATATCGCTGTTCTAGTTGCAGCATAGAAATAGAAAATTGTACAGCTTGCCCACCTCAATCTTATAGGGATCTAGGAACAGATAATTCATGCTCTTGCCAAGCTAATATGTACGAATAACCTAATAATCCAATTTGCATTCGTATATATCTAATTCAAATTAGCCTGTCATTATACTTGCTTAACATGTAATGGACCTGAATCAAATTAATGCACATCCTGTTATACTTAAATTATGAGATAATTGGATCCCTCAGGGTCTTGTTTATGTATGAATAGTTACTATGATCCTGGATAAGCTGGTTGTTTAGGTATTAATCAAACTATTGTTAGCATGCAATCCCCGTTGTTTGAAATGTGTAAACTCTGCTGATAATTGTATATCTTGTAAACCAGATAGATACTTACAGGGCAATACTTGTATTTGCCCAAACAAGATAAATGGTGCCCTCATTAGCAAGTACGAAAAATCAGGCAAAGTTGATTGTCAAAGTTTGATCTAATTAATTTAATATAGGTTGTCATTATACTTGCCTTGAATGTTATGGATCCGAATTTAATCAATGTAGTAAATGTTTGGATAGTGAGGGTAGAATATTATCAAATTCTACTTGTATTTGTGCCTCACCAAATGTTGATATTGGAGAACCATAATGTTAAAGTACTCTTGTAAACAAAGATATTAGAATGCCAATATAGTTGTGAAACTTGTGAAAGCATGCTTACCAATTGTTTAACTTGTGCTCCAAATACTTTTAGAAATTTATCAATTTCACGGTGCGTTTGTTAACAAGGATATTTTGATGATGGATCTAATCCTATATGCTAAAGTATTTAGAATTATATTATTAATAGAATGCCACTATTCTTGCTAATATTGCTCCTCCTTTTCTACAAAATGCGATACATGTTCATCTACATTCAATAGAGTATTAAATCCATTGATTTTTACTTGTAACTGCATGGAATCTTATTATGATATTGGAGTTGAAGCTTGTTAGAAATGCCATTATTCTTGTTTGGCTTGTAATTCTTTTGGAAATGAATTTTGTGAATCCTGTAAAGACAAGTCAATTTCTTTTCGAGTCTTTAATAAAGGAGTCTGTGTTTGTTTGCCTGGATATTTTGATGATGGAATGTCTCCTAATTGTCAGAAGTGCTAAATTTCATGTTTGACTTGTTAAAACACTGCAACCTATTGTACATCCTGTGAATCAACGAGACATTTTGAAGGGAATAGTTGTTTATGTAATACAGGTTATTTTGAAATTGGTCAGGTTTTATGTGATAAATGTGATCAGAATTGTTTAGAATTGCTCAATTAATCCGAAGATGTGTACAGAATGTGATTCAATAAGAATTATAAATAAAATAACTAAAACTTGCATTTGCAAGCCTGGAACTATTGAAATTGATGAATAATGCCAAGATTGTGATATTACTTGTAATACATGTGAAAATTCACTCACTAATTGTACTTCTTGCAAATCTTTGAGGTTATTATTTAACAATTAATGCAACTGTATAGATGGTACATATGAGAGTGGCAATGATAAACAGTGTTTATATTGTAGTAAAACTTGCGAAACATGTATCAACTAAGAGAACTATTGTACAACATGTTCACAGGATAATTTTAGAATACTTTCTTTAGGAAATATTTGTGTATGCAAGGATGGATATTATGAAGATACAGTTTCTTTAGATTGTAAATCTTGCGATTCGTCTTGTTTAACTTGTAATTTATTTTCTACTTATTGCCTAACTTGTAATGCTTTGTACAATCTCAGTCTGGATGCCTCAAATAAATGCGTTTGTTCTCCAGGGTTCTATTTTAATTCTTCGAATTCAAAATGTGAAGGTATATTTTTAGATATATTCAGCTTGTCCGATTTAGTGTTAAGAGTGTAGGTCATAGCTAGAATGCACAGAATGTGAAGATTTTACTAGATATCTTGATCCAAATAATTTAGAATGTCCATGCAAAGACGGATATTATGAGGTTAATGCAAAGAATTGTTAATGTAAAAAATTTAAGAATATAATAAGTATGCGATTATAGTTGTAAGACTTGTTAAACTTCACCTACAAATTGCTTATCATGTGAATCACTCTATTATAGACTTTTAAAGTCTAATTAATGTATTTGTTAGGATGGATATTATGATATTGGGATTGAGATGTGTTAACTATGTGACCCAATTTGTTTTACTTGTTAGTAGTCTTCAACTTAATGCACTTCTTGTAACTATACCCAACACTTTAGATCATTAAATCTAAATCAATGTATTTGTTAAAGTGGATACTATGATATTGGTTAATTAATTTGCCAAAGTAAAATTATGATTTATTTATAGAGTGCTCCAATCAATGTCTCACTTGTTAAGGGTAAAAAGATTTTTGTACAAGTTGTGATATTTATCAATATAGAATTGATCAATCTTTTATCAATAAATGCCCTTGTTAATAAGGTTTTTATTAAGATATCAGTAAAATATGTCAAAGTATTAATTGTTATATAATCAGGATGTCATTATAAATGTTAAACCTGTGTTGACTAGAAAGATAATTGTTTAAGTTGTGTTTAATCTTAAACTTCAAATAGATTAAGCATCTCTAAGAATTGTATTTGCAAGGATGGGTACTATGATAACAACATGTAATCAGATTGCTTAAAATGCAGTCCATAATGTAGATTGTGTTAAAACTCATCAAATAATTGTTTAAATTGCTATGGAGATCTAAGAGAAGCACCTCCAACTTGTAACTGTAAACTTGGTTATTTTGAGACTTTCTCTGGGATTTGCGAACGTAAACAGCTATCATTATAATATAGCTTGTGAAAATTAATGTTAAAGTTGTGAAAAGACTCCTTCTAATTGTTTATCATGCTAAGAAGGTCGAATCACTCAACTTTGCATTTGTTAAGAGGGGTATTTTGAAAGTGGATAACCTCATTGTGATTGTATTTTAAGTATTTATACTTTAAGAATGTTCGTTTTAATGTAAAACATGCAAAAATTCCCCAAAGAATTGTTTAAGTTGTAAAGGAGATCGTATTAACATACCTATTTGTTCATGTCCTGATGGATAATATGATGATTACTTGAATGATTCTTGTTAGGGTTGTAACTGGTTATGCTAAACTTGCAACTTAAATGGCTGTCTAACATGTAAAGCCAATAGGATCTTATCTCCTGAAATGTCTTGTGATTAGCCACTAGGTTCAGTGAGCTATCCTGATACTCCATGGTGTTCAAGTATTGATTTCTATAAATATCCAAGCTTGTTAAGTTGCTGTACTCAAAATTAGGTTCTCTGATGACTTACTGTCCATATAGGTCAAATTTGATTTTTCCTTGAATCCAAATTTTTTCATTACTCAATTTTAAGAGAATATTTGTAAAAAAATATTAGAAGATCAAACTTATCAATTACTTGGTAGGAATCCTAATTGTTATATTGATCCTAATGATGATACCATAATAATATTAGAGGTAGGATAATAGCCTAAGATTCTTCCAGGAGATTTAATCTTGTTCTAAGGAAACCATTTGGGCCATTAAGGTTGCGATTAGCCTTTAACTGTTTTTATCTTTAATGAAATTAAAAGCCCCATAAATCCTGTGTCTCCTATTCTAATATACGATGAACCTACTTAGTTAATAAATCCTTGTGATGATAATATAATACCTTTGAAATCAATATTAAATGATGGATTTAGAAGTTTGGTTGAAATAAAATGGACCTATTTTGTAATTGGACCTAATGGCAATGGTGAGCTTGATAACTTTATTGCTTCATAAACAAAATACTAAATTTTAGAATTGGTAATCCCATTTGAAACTCTACCAAAATAATCCAATATTACATTCGAAATAGAATTTCAAAATTTTGTTGCAAAATTAGGTGTTCAATAAATTAGATTGTAAACCAATTCTGGTCGTTTTCCAACTATTTTTTGGGTTTCAAAACCTACATATTATACCTTTGAACCTATTGTTTTGGAATTTAAAATTAAAAAAAAGGCTTGTTCCGATATGAATGCTACTTAAGTTGATAACTCTTAATTTTCTTTATCATTAGTTGAAGTGCATAGAAATGATTCCAATTCCAGGTCATCAAGAGTAAATTATTCAGAAATCACAAGTCAACATAGTTTTATTGTTACTATTGAAAGATATACTTTAACTCCAATGGTTGCATACACTTTTGAATAAACAACAAGTGATATAATAGTAAACTTTTCAACTAAGAGAAATATTACAATTGAAGTTAGCTCAGGAGGTATTATTTGTCAATTTAATGGTACCAAAAAGATTTAGAATCATAGAAAAGATACTTAAATATTCATCTCATGTAAAGATTTAGATACTTAATACAAGTGGAATTAGGATCCTAATATTGAAATTGATGTCTAATGTGTTGACTTTAATATGAATTCCCTCTGTGTGGATATATAAAACAAAATAATCCAAATTAATAAAACTGATACTTTCTAAGCCATTCCAAAATACACAATATATCCTTATACTATTTAAAGTTGGACAGTAGTGGCTACAAAACAATCACGCTAATATAAATTTGAATAAAAATTAGTCTATATAGATGAAAATTTTGAATTATTGAATGTCACCTACAATTAAGGATATCTAATGAGACCAGTCAATAACTACGAAAATTTGGAGTTCATCATTAATATTCCTTTTCATGATAGGTAGTATCTTCTTGAGTATCAAGTTGCTATCATTTATAATTTCGAACTCATAAAGATATTGCAATCTGAATACTTTTAATTCTAATTTAATATATTTGATTATTATTAGAAATTTTCAGATGGAAATACAATTAATTTGAAATTTTTGGCGTAGTTTACTAATGAGATCATACCTTGCCAAGAGGATTTACAAATAATGATTAATTTACCTCCTTCCTGTTTTGTGAGCTTGAGTGAATAAATAGTTCAAGCATTAAAACCTTTAAAGATAATTACAAATTGCCATTTTTCTAATGCAGCTCCATATACTTACCAATTAAGATATTTTCTTCATAATTAAGATTTAATTGATTTTTTGGATCGAACAAATGATTATTCATTAATCTTGAGTAGTTATTCAAACTCATATATTATTCAAGGCTCTTTTCCATTTTCTGATGGCATTCTTTTAATATAAGCAATGGATTCTAAGGGATCATACTCAAATATTTAGAAATAGTTAAATATAACTTAGACTGTGCTTAATTGTTCCTTGATAAACATTCAGCAATATACTTTAAGATATTAAATTTCATTATTATTAGAAATCATAATGAACCATAAAGCATAATAAAGTTGTATTGATCTTTCCAAATAGTTATACTCAAATATCAAAACCTTTTTAGATGCAGAAGAGAATGATGATCAATTATTAGTTTATCAAACCGTGAAACTCTATAAAAGAATAATCCAAGATCATGATAATTCAAACTCCAAAAAGAGATTATTAAATTGAATTCAGAGAGTGC